GGATAGATTTATCATAATTACTGCATTGTCGGTAAATCACGCTAAAATGTATGTCTAGTTTAGCTTAGACAAACTTGAATATTGGAGGGTCAAGTTTACCGTCTGTCCAAATAAGGTCAGTGCTGCGTGTGTGCTCAGTATAGTCTTGCAAGAACGGAAAAGGCTATTCCAGTCTGTAATCGAGGATATCAAACTTGTCTCTAAGAATTGTACAGAAGCTTCCGTGTTTCAAATTCATAAAAATAGATCATTTTGTAGAATATAATATGGCTCTGAAGTTAAAAAATTAGTAAGACCACCAGCGAGGCAATCATCCCAGTAATTCTTCAACCATATGTTGCTATTGAAACAAAAAAATCAAACGTAGTTATTTAAGGTCTTAATAATACGTTGTTTTGCTATAATCACCTTATTTTGTAGGTTTCATAGATATACAGGGTGTGGCGTTTATAATCTGTAAAAATTAAACTACAGCTGCCTCATGATACTTATAATAGAAAAGTCTTATACGAAAAAGTTCTATCTTCGCGTTTTTTTTTTGTAAATTAAAGTTCATTTATTCAACGAAAATGAAAGCCGACCCTGTGTTATACCTGTGTTAATACTAAAAGGTTAGGTTACATTGTCAAAAAAATTGTGTAGTCAACTGATTTTGTATTTGTATTGAATGCATTATTCATTTAATTATTAAATATTAAGCATCATTCATCGGTCCATCGGTTTTAAAAAGTGAAAGATTCCAGACAAAAGTTTTTATTTTGATTGAACAAATGCGTTTTTGCAGATGGTTTTTACGGCAATGTGCAAATCAAGTAGACTTTCCTGCTTATGTTTGTGTAACAGATGAGGCGACATTTACCCGTGATGAAGTGGATTTCCATAATATGCACATATGGGCCGATGAAAATCCTCACGCGTTTAGGGAAACTCATTTTCAACATCGGTTCTCGGTAAATGTTTGTACTGGCATAATAGGCGATGTACTTGGGGGCCCCTATTTCTTTGAAGGACGACTAAATGGGCCAACATATGCTGACCTTTTGGAGAACCGATTGCCTGAATTATTGGACGATGTGGCATTACAAGTTTGGGCACGCATGTTTTGTCTTCAAGATGGGGCTCCTCCACACAGTACTCGAGAAGAACGACGCTTTTCAATGAAATATTTCCTCAGTAATGAATTGGACGCTTTGGTCCTGTGCCGTGGCCACCTCGGACACCCGATCTAACTCCAATGGACTTTTATCTTTCGAGTCACTAGTTTACAATACTCCAATTGCTACGGTGGAAGAATTGCGAATCCCTATACTTGAAGCTGCTGACACAATTAGGGGAATACCTGAAATTTGGGAAAATATTCGCCAAAATTGGGTGTGTCGGTGCCATCCATGCCTGTATCCGCGCTAATGGGGATCAATTTCAACATTTTCTCTAGAAATGGTAAGTTTTATTTCATTTTTTCCATATTTTAATGGAGTTTGTTTAGTGCACGCAGTTGGCAACTACAGATGCTTACGGATGTGGTTTTGTTTGCGAACTCTTGCAGTAACACCAATGTATTAATTATTATAATAAAAAAATAGCAGTTTTTTTAAATATCTATTTTTCTTAGTTTGTACTTTTGCATTGAAAAATTACCCAAAAATTGAGAAGTATCTTTCTATATCTTTCAACGACGATTTGTTTACGCAGCTGGTCTACAGCACGTAACTCATCGTACAACACACGGACAGGACCGTTCCAGAGAAAATATTTTGGTCCATAATTGAAGTTTAATTTACGAAAAAAAAAATGCAAAAACAGAACTTGTTCGTATAAGATTTTTCTATTACAAATATCGTTAGGAAGCTGTAGTTTAATTTTTATAGATTATACACTCCACACCCTGTATAGGTATAGGTATCTGAAAGTATCGATTTAGTTCAAAATTTTATACTCCCAAAATTTTATTGTAGATATACTAAATAGTAGATACTCCGTATTTGCATGTATGTACAAAATTGCGACACATTTTGTCGTTCTTTAACAGAACTAAATGCCTGTTTCAAATTAATAGCTTATTATTCATACACCTAATAATGGTATTAGAGGATATGTAGANATACTAGTAATACTAAAAGAAGGTTAGGTTACATTGTCAAAAAATTTGTGCAGTCAACTGATTTTGTATTTGTATTGAATTCATTATTCACTTAATTATTAAATATTAAGCATCGTCCATCGACCCATCAGTGTTAAAAAGTGAAAGATTCCAGACAGTGTAATTTTTATAAAGAAGTGAAAAATAAGAATAGCGTGCCGATTACATTAAAAACGAACGAGATCCTTATTTCTTACTTTGCTTAATTTTTTAGTTTGTGCACAAACTAGTTTTACAATGAACCGAGAAAACAATGCATTTACTATTTCCGAACGTGTCGATATGGTGTTAGTGTATCGTGCAGCCGGAGAAAATGCGCTCGCGACGACTAGGTTGTACCGGGAACGATGGCCACAACGTCACCCCCCATGTCAAATACAGTCATACAGTACGTTCAGCGGCTTCGAGATACGGGAAGTGTTATTCCTCGAGGAGAAGGACGTGGTCGGCAAGTGAACCTTAATGTTAAATATGCAGTATAGGAAAATCTTGACGAAGACTCCACAATAAGTACTCGACGATTCGCACAGCAAGTAGGAACCTCATATCGTATCTTAAGGCGCCAGCTGTTGCACCCTTATCATCTGCAACAAGTTCGACAGATTTTATCCCCGGATTGTGATCAACAAATGCGTTTTTGCAGATGGATTTTACGGCAATGTGCCAATCAAGTAGACTTTTCTGCTTATGTTTGTGTAACAGATGAGGCGACATTTACCCGTGATGAAGTGAATTTCCATAATATGCACATATGGGCCGATGAAAATCTTCATACGATTAGGGAAGCTCATTTTCAATATCGGTTCTTGGTAAATGTTTGGGCTGGCATAACAGGCGATGTACTTGGGGGCCCTATTTCTTTGAAGGGCGACTAAATGGGCCAACATATGCTGACTTTTTGGAGAACCAGTTGCCTGAATTTTTGGACGATGTTGCATTACAAGTTCGGGCACGCATGTTTTATCTTCAAGATGGGGCTCCTCCACACAGTACTCGAGAAGAACGACACTTTTCAATGAAATATTTCCTCAGTAATGGATTGGACGCTTTAGTCCTGTGCCGTGGCCACCTCGGTCACCCGATCTAACTCCAATGGACTTTTATCTTTCGAGTCAGTTGAAGTCACTGGTTTACAATACTCCAATTGCTACGGTGGAAGAATTGCGAAAGCCTACTTGAAGCTGCTGACACAATTAGGGGAATACCTGGAATTTGGGAAAATATTCGCCAAAATTGGGTGTGTCGGTGCCATCCATGCCTGTATCCGCGCTAATGGGGATCTATTTCAACATTTTCTCTAGAAATGGTAAGTTTTATTTCATTTTATTCCATATTTTAATGGAGTTTGTTTAGTGCACGCAGTTGGCAACTACAGATGCTTACGGATGTGGTTTTGTTTGCGAACTCTTGCAGTAACACCAATGTATTAATTATTATAATAAAAAAATAGCAGTTTTTTTAAATATCTATTTTTCTTAGTTTGTACTTTTGCATTGAAAAATTACCCAAAAATTGAGAAGTATCTTTCTATATCTTTCAACGACGATTTGTTTACGCAGCTGGTCTACAGCACGTAACTCATCGTACAACACACGGACAGGACCGTTCCAGAGAAAATATTTTGATCCATAATTGAACTTTAATTTACGAAAAAAAAAACGCAAAAATAGAACTTGTTCGTATAAGATTTTTCTATTACAAATATCGTTAGGAAGCTGTAGTTTAATTTTTATAGATTATACACTCCACACCCTGTACACGTATAGGTATCTGATTTAGTTAAAAATTGTATACTCCCAAAATTTTACTGTGGATATACTAAATAGTAGATACTCCGTATTTGCATGTATGTACAAAATTGCGACACATTTTGTCGTTCTTTAACAGAACTAAATGCCTGTTTCAAATTAATAGCTTATTATTCATACACCTAATAATGGTATTAGAGGATATGTAGATCAGCACTGCAGTCTTTAATAATAATCTACGTGTGAACATTTCAAGTTTGTTTCCAGGAAGTATAATTCCTTATAAAACTTTTCATGATTTCGTAACTACCTATGTACATTGTAAATTATATTTAGAAGACTTGAACGTATTGGATTTAATTAGCTTAATACCTTAAAATGAGTAAAAACATATGAGAGTTAATAAAAAAATATATATATTTTTGTAAGAAATTTAGTAAAAAGGGCAAATAAATTTTTTTTATGGTCTGTCCAAGATAGGGATGGGATAGCATTAGGATCTAGTAAGCGGTAAAAGATACGGGGTGGCTCAAATTAGAAGCTCAAATTAGAAAAAGTTGTGTTTTTTTTATACCTAACAATATGCTGTTTAGAAAGTTTTAAAATTCCGAGTAGTTCCGGAGATATCCGGAAAAACCCGACATTTTGCAAAACCGTTTTATTTTTTGTGGCTTTATTTGAAAACAAATTTTAAAATAAATTGCATATATATTGCCACTTTTTTCACTCTATCCAATGGCGTCAACATTTTTGCAATCCAACGTTTCGTCTTCGAGGGGCCATCATCATTAATTTTTTCAAATACGTCGCTGCAATTTTTATGACAAAATCTAAGTTAGCCAATATGTTTATTTAAAAACTGTAACTCTGTTAAATTAATGTAAATTTTTATTATATTTTCTTAAAATAGTATCGAACAAGCTTTTTAATTGTAACTTTTTATCTGTAGGTAATTTTTGTGTCACTTATCTATTTTTGATAGACCCGTTTCATTTATACAGACCTTAACAAAGATAATAAAGATCATAATGAACAATAAAAGCAGGATATAATGCACGCGATATAATTACATTTCTTTGTCGAAAATATACTGTTTAAAGGAGTACACTTACCCCATCACTAAAACGTCCACTGACTCTGTATTTATGTTTTCTAGCAACCTTAACGTAGGGATGGCTATCTACTGGAGTTATATCCCTAATTGGAAAATTTCTAGGAGTGACAAAGTTACTTCTATCTTCGACGAGATTGTCGTCAGGATTTGGAGGGAAGAGGACTGGTCCATTCCTTTCCCCATTCTGTGCGGCAACCTCATAAGGATGGGGGTTGAAGTTCCTGGGCTGCAGAAATATTTCAGGGTGAGGTTCTTCTAAACTTACAGTTACTTCTGTCACGATTACTAGGAGTATAAGTAGGTTGTACCACGAAAGAATCGTAGGAATCTGAAACAAACATATAGAATTAGTACAGGATTAACACAGATTTTGTTAATCTTTATTTATAAGTTGATGGAAACAAGATTATTTCTGTAATATTTCCATCAACTTCAGTAACGCTTTTGATATGACCTGTTTTGTGTTAATTTAATGTTAAGCCTTGTCTTTAATCAAAACATTTTTCTCTGTAGATACAAGAAGCTTTATTTGTACGTAGAGAAATAACATTTAATCCTAACGCTGTACACAGGCCAGTAGAACAAAGGTATTCTCATCAGTCAAATGAAGAATAAAAAAACTCAATCGCTTTGAAATGCCGTAGATGATGCCCGAGAGAGAGCTGCATCTAACATAATCCTCATAGCACACAACTATCTTCCCTGGATAGTTTTGTTCTAAATAAATAAATAAACAAACGTAGTTATTTCAACGAATGCACTCAGCATTCAACCCACCCATTAAGGGAGTCAACGTTTCATGCACGAACCACGAGGAAGTCCGGAACATAAACACAAAACTCTAGAGTCTCCTGAAACGCTTTGAAACTATTCCATTTAAAGGCGCAGACGTCTGATTGTTAGGTTTGTTTTAATATTATTAAGCTAATGCGAGTTAAGATTAGAGATGAAAGACCCATTTTCCTCTTATAAAATACCAACATATTCTTGTAGATGTCGCTACATAAAATAGTTTATAGTAAAAATTTAATTGCCAAAGTAAAAGTATTATTAAAATATGCGAAATTAATCAATATTTTGAAGTTTAACTAATAATATTTTAATATTTCCTTCATTAGTCAAATTAAAAACACAAAAATATTTGCTATAAGCGATTCTGTTAAAGAGAAATAAACAAGAAACCCATATCAGATAAAAGAACCTTTGAAGGGGTTTTCTCCGCAATCATAATCGTCTGTCGTCACCGCCGAATTTTACACAACGGATAAAAGGAAATGCGGAACCGACTCCTAATAAGTTTCGTCTTAAGCAGTGGTCCAATAATGGAAATAAAAGCAGTCTAGATATGAATAAGAGATAGGGATAAAGGAAAATCAATCTCAAAGACGAATTATTTTCTTTGATTAAAAACGAACGGTAGAGAATCCTTGGATAGGTATTTGTTTTATCTGTCTTGTAAACATCTTGGGAAAGAAATATAGTAGATATTAAATATTTTCAAAACTTATTTGCTTCACGGATTTATATGCAATATATGAAAACACTATTTTACATTTTATTCCCTTTGTATCTTGGGAATATATGTTTATACTTGCATATACAGGGTGATTCAGTAATAATGACATTAATCTTAAGGGAAGATAGGAAAAAATGAGTAAAATATGCGATTAAAAAAAATTTAAAATGCATATTTACGCTGAATTTTTTTTTTCAAATCATTATCTAAACCCCTTTCGGACCGCATCTGACCGCTGACCTACAAAGGTTTATCGAGAGTGAATCTTGACCTACTGCATTCGGTCACTAATCTAGCTTTTACTGTGTTTTTAATAGTGGACGACAGAAACAGATCTTCTTGCCTGGGCACATGAATGAATAAGATATTTTTTACGTTTTAAACAGGTATTAACAAGCATTATTTATTTGTTAATAAAAACAAATGTATAAGGATAATCACTGTTTTCGAATATTAGATTATGACAATTTAGTATTTCTAATATTGACAATAACGTTTCCACTATGTTTTATAATTAAATATGAGTTTTTAGTATTATGTCCAACTAATTATTCAGTTTATAGTACGTAGACCTCATTGTGTGACTTATTGCTTTTCAATGAGTAGTATGGTACATATCTATTTAAAATGACAGCACGGCTAAAAGAACATTTGTAACTAGTCATATTTTAGAAAAAAAATAATTATAAACGTTTTTTTCCTCTTCCATTTTCGCCTAAAATCAACTCTTGAAAAGATACATAATTAAATAATTTTTTTTATGCGCATACACAAATTTTCATTTCTAGTGATATTTGAAAGCCAATAATCTCCGTGGATATACGATTCAGCCAAATATGGACTTTTTGAAACATATAGCGTCCGGACTATGAGGAAATCAGCTGTTTCGCTTCAACGAGAGTTAAGGGGTAATTTGCTTATTTTTTAAAAACGTAGTTAAAATTAATGGCATCATGACTGAATCACCTGTATAGAAAATCAGTATAAAACTCAACAAATACATTTGAACACTTTTATATGGTTTAATTTTCGCTGAAAAAGTTGACCGAATGAACATGGAAATATCACTGAAAGGTTGATATAACTCTACACATAAAATTTTCATTTCGGTACTTTTTCAACACATGAGATATTGTAGAATTGCGTACTTTAAAGACTCCAATCAACGTTTTTCATTAAAACCCTTGACTATATATTTTCTACATAAATAATAACAACATTAAGTTTTACACCAAAAACCGACGATCTAAAGCCAGTATTCGAGATACAGAGTGTTGGCATTTAATGAATATATCTCTGAAGATGTTTGATATGGGCTAATGCAAATCGAATGATACATTTGACTAAAGGGAAGAATTCACTGAACTTGTTATACAAATTTGTTAACCAACAGAATTACTAAACGCTAATGAGAATTTTGGAAATTGGATATAAATAAATTTAATTCCTAAAGTTATTTTAACACTGTAGTACTGCAATCGTGAGTTTAGGACAAATAACAAAAATTCCTTTTTTTTCGCAAAATTCATAAAATTGTTCATAATTACCTTTTGTGATCTTTTGAACGAATTACTTGTGAGTTCTTTGCGTAGTATAATTTTCAAAACTTTTCTTTTTTTTTTCTTAGTAATTGTTTAATTTGTAGCATTTTCCTAACACTTGCCGACTTTGTTTGACACATAATTTACATGTTAACATTTTAAATTTCAGTTATCAACATTTTCAAATATATAATATTAGATAATATTTAGTATTAAAAAATTCTCGAACTATAATTCTATTAGTATTATGATATTTTGAATGATATAATGAGTACCTATTACTGTATCCGTGACCTCTTATTGTATCCGTGAGTCAAATTTAATGTATAATGACAGAAAAATCGTTGGAAATACGTATGTAGAAAATCGGAAACGACACTATTTTTTTCACCAATCAAAATAGAGCTTTTGTCTTAGTGAACATGTTTGCATGAACATTTTTCTCGATTATTTTAGTTGTACCCTGTATTATGTAATTACTTAAAACTAAAACTACGTAGTATTCCTTATTGAAAAAATATATTTTACACATTATAATTACTATAGGCGCGAATTTCCTGTTACAAAATGCACCATAAGTGCTATTTCCCACACAGGTGACTTGAACAAAACTTTCTTGCATCGCGTAATTAACAGAAATTGCGACACTGAACCCATTGTTTGTAAATGTTGCTTTTATTTTATAATATTAAAGATATTTTAAATAATATATATTTTCTTGACAAAATTAAAATCAAAACACATAATAAAATACATGCATTATGAGGCACTGACATTACAATTATGTTATTGAATTAAATCTCACGCCCTAACCAAAAAAGTTTCCAAATATGTTTATGGCAAAGAAGCACCCTAATGATTGGAAATGAAAATTAATTTAAAGATGCTAAATCAAAAAATTAAAAAATATATAATATATAATTAGCAACATATTTCTATCATACAATATTACCTAATCAACATTATCAAGTTTTCTGAAACAAAAACAACTTTTTGTTACTTATTTAGGTTTAGTTTTTGTGTTATTTTTATATTGTCTATTGTTTTATTTATAACAACTTTTAGGTATGTTTTTATGCTTTATTTGTATGTGTTATATTTTGTTAGTAATTTTATACCTTAAAATACACTTCATTATTTTTATAACCTAACCAAACTTAAGATACGAAATTCTAATTACTCAAGAGCATAGGAGTTAACTTTTAAATTAACAATTTTCCAAAATTCTTCATCCAACATTTGTATTTTTCTATGAATGTACATGAATTTTAAATATTATTTGTAATTATAGCTACTACATTAGTAATAAAAAATAAAAGGAAAAACTTACCAGTAGAAATTTGTCCATATCTTCGAGCAGTTCAAGAACTGTTCTGTATGTAAACCAACGTAAAGAGTGTGAAAAGTGACGCGAAGTTGTGACATTAATTAAGAATTACTTAGTTGAACTGAAACTATTTTTTATATTACTTAATCTAATACTGTCTGGTTCAGAATTGCCCGAACGTGATCTTAAAACTAACAATAATTTAAATGATGCATTACATTTCTTTCATATTTCAACACAAAATTTGAAATTCCCACCACTTTCATCTCCATGGCATATTGTTCCCATACAAGAACGTATTACGGCAATGTTTCCAGTAGGTGAATGCAAGAATGGTACATTATGTCTCAGTCACATAACAGACAGTAACATCTTTATTATGTATTCATTGATTTTGTGCTTATAATTGCCTAGTATATACAGGGTGGTCCGAATTTTATGCAGGAAACTTCGAGGGCAGATAGATCTCTTTAAAATAATATGTTTTTATCTTATAAACATTGGTCTGGAACAGCCCCATTTTAGAGATACAGGGTGTTGAAGTTGTTAAAAAAAAATTGATTTTTTGTTTATATCATAGGAATCTAATAATCGATCTCAATAAAATTTGGTACAGGTAGTCTATGACAGTAGGCCTTGCATTCTCTAAAATCTCCTTTTTTATAGAAAAACCTACGCCACTGCATTTTTTACAAGTTATTGTAAAGAAGGTAACTTGAATTTTTTCCGAAGAATCGCCGTTTTCAAGTTATTCATACCAATACAATCCCTTTGTGGCAGACATTTATAACCATAATATTTAAAGAATATTTATGTTTATGCTTAAAAGTAAGTGGAATTTGTAAGCACATCAACAAAATTCTTTACACTCGTTTCCACACCACCACCACCTGTGATCTAGAGTTCCTTATGCGTTTTAGTTTCCCCTGGAACCCTAACCCACTATCTTTAAAAATAAGAACAACTTAAATCAAAATAATATCTAAATGTACATTTATCAAAGGCGAAGGGTAGTGAAATTTCACAATCTGCATATTTGGTCACAAGAAAATCCTCATGAAATTTAGACAAGATCTTTTCAACACGAATTTTCTTTGAACGTGTGGCTCGGAATAATTCGCAATAAAGCTTGTAGGCCTTTCTTCTTGCCACCCAGTCTAAATTCCCAGTCATTTCTAAACTTTCTAGGAAACCATCTACATATTTGAATTATTAGAGGATGTTCCATTAAATATACGACAAAATAGCTGGATACAATGGATGGTGCTCCTGCGCGTTTTGGGAGAATAATATATAAGAATGGCTTAATGAAAATTATATGGGGCGATGGATAGGAAGAAGACCAAATGCCAATGTCGACCATAATGGTGCAGAGGGTCCAGTGTCTTGGCCAGTCAGATTGCCATATCTAAACCCCCTGGACTTCTATGTTCGGGGTTACCTGAAAAGTAATGTTTATTCTACTTCAACAGATACAAGACCACAATTACTGCAACGAATAGAAGACGGGTGTAATTAATTAAAAGAAAACCACCACCTGATATTAGCTTCAATTATTTGCATTAATAGAAGATGACAGAAATGTATCGATGTGGGTGGTTCGCACAAGACAATTGGCTCTGCCATTTTGATTTTTTTTAACTCTAATTTCAAATTCGTAATCAGTGACCCCAAAAACCTGAAGGACGAGTGAGAATTTATGTGTATAAATTGATTCTTCTAATTTTTTTGCGTCTTCGCTTGACACCACTCCATTTACGAATATCAACGAATACGCCAATTTAATTAATTTTAACAATAACGATTTCTAGGGGAAAAAAGACATATTCGAACAATTCAAAACGGTTTTTGAAAAAGAGTAGTAGCTTAAGATTTCATTCAGAATCAAGTTTTATGGACAACAATTTCCACATAATAATGAAATCACAGTATTTTTTGAAACGTTAACTGTAGGCAGACGCGTAGCTAGAGGGGGGTAGGGATGGGCATGGCCTCCCCTAGAAAGCTCGGTGCCCGCCCCACATCTTTTTAGTCGAACTAGCCGGCTGACCAACTGGTCGCTTTAGACCTAGGTCCACCTCAAGCAAAAATCCTTCCTACGCCCATGACTGTAGGTACTATGTGTAGAGGTTATTGTGTGGATTTATTCAAAACATTTTTCATTTTCATATGGCAAAAGAGAAAATAAACAATAACTGAAAATGCCACAAATCTATAAAGAAAACAAATAATAATAATATAAATAATACTAAAAGAAATAATTATTTATGCGCTAAGTTTATAATACTTTACTTACTTATGCGTTACTTTTTGCAATAGAAAAGTTGGTATCTAAAAAAATAATATTCTCTAAATAATAAAATAAATCGTTTCAGGCAGCATTACTTAGCCATTAATATAATCCAATTTGACTAGTACAATTCCCAGTAAGAAACTATTGCATTCAACGGTATTGTTATAATATCTCACATTATTAGTCGTTGTTACATAACACAAATGTATAGACAATTTTTTGACTGTATCTGTAACATCTATATAGAGAACTGAGTATTTGACCTCCACAATTTCCACCTAGTCCAAATAATTAATTTTTGTCATGGATCAAATAATACCTACATTGCGCCACGATCATGCAAGGTAATAATGTATATCTGCCACAGTAGTGAATAAAATGTAGATGTAGATCAGTTGTTGCAAAACAACAGGTCACAAGAAAGGCCACTTCCTTTATATCAAATTTACCTAATATCTATCCAACTAAGTTTCGCACAGTTATAATAATTGAAGTTTGAAGTAACATTTAAGATTTGAATAAAAGTATCCTATTGATCTATAGAAAGATAAAACAATATGTTCACAAATTTTGCACTTGGACAAAGCTTCTAATTCGTTTATTAAGAGTAAATAATGTGAGAACTGTGAATTATGTAATCTCATTCGAGTTTCCTATACAGGGTGATTTCACTTTAAATACATAAACTGCAGGAATAAATTCATTACCAAAAATAAGAACAGTTTACTGTATAAACTTTTTTTTTCTGGGGGTATTAAAGTTTACAAAATGGATATTATGGATTTCGTTGGATCGGACGTCTTCCACCAGGATATAAAGAACCAAGGGTACCTGGTATAGAGCCGGTAAGATCATAGACCTAGTAAACTATGGACTGGCCCTAGAAAGAGAAGTTAATCGCGCTGATGTGTGCAAGTAAGATGAAGGTAGTTGAGGCAAATACCGGTAAAATAAATGATGGTACACGGGTATACCGGTACAAAATGCTGTAAATAAACTTTGAAGTAAATGTCATGTATTGACATTATTGATTTTCTTGAATTTTTGTATGAGTTAGTGTATGTGAAAGATTCGTAAAAACTAAATATGGTGAAATCGTGTTCTAAAATAAATTGCGTAAAGAGATGTTTAAGTGGAGAAAAAATTAAATTTCATAGGTAGGAAAAAAGTTATGACGGTACCAACATATTTATACTTTTTGCAACTTTCTGAAAAGACTGACCATGTAGAGCTGTCTCTGATGACAACATATTAGATTAAATTATTTCCGCCATCCTCAAAATAAAATGTCATTTAACATCAAACCGAATATAAAGAAAAAGTTTTAACTGAAATGTGCTTATAATGTGCTCCAGCAAAAATTCTCTTCAAATAATATGTTGAACGAAGAAAGCATCGACATAGTTTCAATTTATGTAGTTCTGCAAAGCAAGAAAATATGAAATATTTGGAACAACTACGTCAGAAGAGCTTGCAGTAATGTTGACCGATCGAGTTTACGATATGACGAAAATAAATGGAGAAATACATAAAGAAGGCATTATAAAAACTATTTGGAATATTATAGCTAAAACAATTCAAATATATTGTACTGTAATTAGGATAGTAATATAATAAACCCTTTTACATACCTACACTACTGGAAAAAATTAAAATTTTTTGTCTTTTAATCTCTATATTATTTTTATAAAGTCTTTGAATACGGCCCAACAGAAAAAAAAAATGGTAAGGAATCGAGTATAGCTAGCTGATTGGTTGAATTAAATGTAGCGCGTTGCAGTCGGAATTCTGAGAACGAAGCTTAAGCCCTTACTAGCTCCATCTCTCTCGCACACGTCTGAGCGTTTACCGTTTATCTGGGTAAAATGACAGTTGGGCGAGTCCAGTAGTTTATAAGGTCTATGGGTAAGATGGCCACCATGATCACTTGACCTTAATCCTATGGAGTATTTTGTATGGGGACTTTTGAAAAATAACGTCAACCAATAGAAATACGAGAGGAATTGTGGCAAAGAATAGAAGAAAACTGTAATCCCCTCTATAAATAGCTTGATTAGAAAATGTCAAAAGTGTATTGATGTGAAAGGACTTCATTTTGAACTGAATTGTTGTAGGACTCGTTACTAAATTTACTTACTTGACCTATTTGTTAAAGTTCGTGAGCTCAAAATAGGCAGATTTAGGCTATTTCATCTATATCCGAAATCGCTTCGTTTGGCCGCTAGATGGCCCCAAAGTTCGTGAAAATTTTTTGAATTTTGTAAATAACTCGAATACGTATTATTCGATTTCGATTATTTTTGGGGTGTTGACTTTTGCTTTCAATTTACATATTTTGGTGTTATACAGTGTTTTTTAAAACCTACAACTCCTACAAAATTGATGTATAATGGTGGTGGTGGAGGTGATAATATCCGTTCATAACTTTTTCCTCTTTAGGGCAATAATGACAACTATTTTTTATTTGATAGGTGATATAATTTGGGAATTTTTTGGCCTCTTGTAGAATTTTGATTAATTTAAATTATTCAGTTCGACTTTAAATCATTGTACCTGCCAATTCTATTTTACTAGAAGCGGAAAAATAAATATTCATAATGAACATGTGTATGCTCAAGAAAATCCACATGCTGTGAAAGTAAGATATTATCCGCATGAATTTCACATCAGTGTTTGGTTTGGGATCATTGATGGCATTATTATTGGTCCTGTCATTCTACCCAATAGATTTAATGGAGAATTTTATTTAGAATTTTTTCAAAATCCAAGTTATTGGAAAATGTGCCGTTATTACTCAGAGCTAATATGTAGTTTATGCATGATGGCGCTCCACCACATTTCACTGCAAATGTCCAACAACCTGACCTAAAGATTCCCTCGTCGATGGATGGGTAGAGGGGATAATGTTCCTATTAACTGGCCTGTACGTTCACCACACTTAAAAATGTTATTTAAGTAGGTATGCCAAGGTTTTAATATTGTAGCAGGTTAAATTTTCAATCAAAGTAAATAAAACAGCCTAAACGCCTAAAAATATCAACGCAAGAAAAAAGCCGGTATATCTTTTTTGCAAATAAATGATGTTACAGACAGTCGGACAAGAAGCTTTTATTTTGTAACGCCTTCTGTTTATTTTTTTACAAGTGTGACAAAAATGTTTATGTACACATTCGAAAGTGATCCGGCATAAAATGTTTCAGAACCGCTGGTCAAATGTCTGACGCCGTAACGTCTTGGAACTTGGAAGAAGAAGACGAAATTTGTATGACCAACGGTTGTCGGTTGTCATTCTTAACTTGACTGTTTGTCTTGATTTAAATTTGAATAATATCCAATATTTACTAAAAATTAATATTCAAGAAAGTAAATACAATAATTTAGTGACTACTTAACATGATGGATGATGAAAGGTTAACTGCAGACGAATATGAGAAACAATACTATGGTTTCAGTTCAACAGAATTGTATCAAGATTGTAAGTAAAATTATATTTAACCTGACATTTTTTATATATAATATATTTTAGTTGAGGAACAAGTATGTATAGCTATGAAACAGGCGTTAACAGAAATGGAAAATGCTTTGAAAGAACAACACATTGATGAAGGAAGCCAAAAAATTGAGCAAATTTATACAATCTACGTGGAAACCGCAAGAGTTTCTCTACAGAAATTTAAGGTTTGAAGAAGATTTTAATAGTATGTACTTCTTATAATCGTATTGTGGATATTAAAGAAGGAAAAAATATTTAAAATATGTTTGTATTTTAGGAAGAAACTAAAAAAATCTTTGCAATACCAAAGAATGTTATTCTAGACGAAGATAAGCACAATACTGACCAATATTCAGAACAAGATATTACTCAATTAGAGAAAGAAGTAATAGATTTGCAAAATGAGCTTTTGACGGTAAGAGTAACCACAAAATACCCAATGAAAAAAACTGTTATGAATGCCACAGTTTCAAATACAATTTTCTTTTTTAGGAAAAAGTTTTTCTGGAGAGATGTAAGCGACAGAAAGAAATTATTAATACATCAGTTAAACCTTTGTACGAAAAGGTAAATGGTGTAATCAAATACCTAAAAACCGTTCTGGAAAACGTAGAAGCTGATAAAAACAGGAAAATATTTGATATCTACGAACACTGTATTCAATATTATTTCAACAATGAAGACAGAGAATCAGAGCTTTCAGAAACTCTGAATTTAGAACAATATTTTCTTAAAGAGTCGGATGATTTTTTTAATATGTGTAAGTAGACAAAGTTGTTATAAAGTTTTTTATATTGTAATAAATGAGTACATTTTCTATAATTTATAATTTTTCCTTCAGTTCACGCAATAAAAATTAATAATTAAAAGCATGAAACCAAAAAATATATTTAATTAGGTCAATAACTATTTGTACTAGTCTTGTTAATTATTATTTTTTTTTAATTCAAGGCATAATTGTGAAAAATTGTGTACGTTATTATGTTTCAAAGTGTTGTCCATCTTTCTGGCAACATACGGATTCCACGTCGAAAGAACAACTCAGGTTGGATTAAAACCTGAGTTGTTCCACTGTTTGTTCCAATTTTTCGTATCTTCGTAAGATTAGCCGGCAATATCTGGTAAATATGGCGGGTGGGGTAGAACATCCCATTTCAGCGTTTCTAAGTATTTTTTGACTTGTTGAAAAAGTAATTTATTGCGCCGTTGCTCGAATTGCGGTCATTATTCCTTTAATGCACGACTCAAATCAATTGTGTTCGGTAGCGTTTACCAGTGATGGTTTCATTCCAATTAAAGCAGCTCATAGTCCACATGACCAAACTGACCTCACCAAATTCAAAGCATGAGCTTCGAACCATGGATATTCGGTCTTGCTGTCGATGTTGATGCATGACCAGGCAAAGTGACGATATGATGCAAAAAACCCTTTCTTTTTTGCCGTTGAAGCAATTTTTTACATGAGACATCGCCGTTCAACATCTCTCGGTTTCAATTCGTATGACACCCAATTTGCTTGCTTTTGAATCATACCAAGTGCATTTAATTGTTTGGAAACGGTTGTGTGATGAACATTCTATGATTCAGCGAATTCGTCCTGCGTTTGTTATGAATCTTGGTCAAGTAATGCTTCCAATTTCTCATCTTCCACTATTTTGGTTGTCCAGTAAATTCTTTGTTAACTGTATCGATATCACCACTTCTAAATTATCAAAACCAATACTCACACATTTTAATCAATGGAGTATGTTCATTGTAAGCTGTAAGTTTCCAAAAGCAGTCGATGGGTTTCAACAGTACTTTTCTTTGAATTAAGCAGGAAAAGTAGAACGTTCCGTAAATTCCGTTTTAATTGGATATCTTCAGAGCTGAGAAAAAATATGTTGTTTGTACTTCAGGAAAAAGACACATAATAAAAAGTAAAGCCTAATGATAGAGCTTCAACATCAAATAGTTACAGAAGTGTCCAATGCGATATAGCATAAGTTACCTCAAGTTTTGTAAATCCCTCAAAATTAATTCACAGTCTTTGTATAAGTATTTTTTTTATTAATAGATGCTTAATAAATTGGGAATATTAAATGAGAAAGTGAAATTCAAACAAATTTTATTAATAACATATATTTACTGTATTAAACTATTAATTAAATTATTTAAGTCATGGATTAAGATTTATCAAAAATAATATCAATTTTAACAGCGTTTATTAAAAATAAAAAATATTATTTCTTAACTACATCCTATTTTATACTTAATCTTCTATCGTCAAAATATGTCAAAACTGATCTTATTTTTACCATCACCAGAACATTTTTCGTACTCCAATGTTAAAGTATAAATATAATAATATAAGAAAATACAGCTGCACTGAATAGGCATCAAATTTTTCTGTACTTTTACAAATTTATATTTTTTAAATGCAGTTGCAACAACAAAAATATTATTAGTAGAGACATCATTATTTATTACATTTATTAGAGAGTTAAATATCCTTAAATCTAATACATTAATGCAAAAAATTAAAGGGTCAAAAGAATTTCCGAAATTTTTCCGTAATTTTTGACAGACTGTATTTAGGTGAAAAATGGTCGTATCGGGAATTAAAAAAGCATTTTGAAGCTCTAAAATTATAGTTTTTAGATCTTAGAACAGCGCGACAAAAAAATTTTGCAAATTTTCTTTTTTTTTCTGTCACGGACTTGTAAAAAAAATTTTCAGCTAAGCCATTGCATGGACCAGATAGCTTGTTTATTCAATTCAATTTCCTTTTTTTTTTTAATTCCGATACTACCATTTTTCATCAAAATATCGGACTTTCAATGGAAACGGATTCTTTTGTCTTCAATCATTGATATCTCGGCAACATATGGTTGTACAGAGAATTGAGGGACAGTTTCGAAAACTGGAATAAATTTCCTATAACATGCTGCCACAACTGTTCGAAAAAAAAATTTTTTTCACATCTTACACAAAAATTGAAAAAAACGGAAAAAAAGGGTAATTGATGTTTTTTTAGAAAATTGACGGCTAAATTAGATATATTCACGAAATGACTGATGTTAAACATGACTTTTATAGTTCAATATAAATAAATATACCCAGAAGAACCCTGTGAAGTTTTGTCTCAATCTAGCGAACCGTTTCTTTGTTTCAGTTAAATTTTTAAAAAAATTAAAGGGTCACGTTTTTTGAGGTTTACTCACATTTTTATCGCAAATGACGTTTTAATTTATGAAAAAACAAATAAAAAAATAATTTTTAAAAATTTTCAGTTTTTTTTTTTAAACCTTCTGGACATTGAAGAACACAAAATCCAATTGTTTCTAGCAGCAACTTTTCGTCGTATGCTGCTGTTAAACTTTTAATTAAATTAAAATTAAAGTCCCCAATTCATACCGTTTTTTGAGACAAATTTCTAATTAATTTTTGTGCAGTTGGATTCACTTAAAAAACAGTTTTTTTCAAACTACCCTTCTTCTCTGAAAAAAATTTGATTTTTTTTCTGAATTTAAACATTTGCAGTAAAAATGTGAAAAAACCTCAAAAAATTTTTTTTTCATTTCAATCATAATGAAGTGTTTAAGCTCAAAAAACGTGACCCTCTGATTTTTTTCAAAAGTTTGACTGTTTGAAACAAAGAAACGGTTTGCTAGATCGAGATGAATCTTCACAGAGTTCTTCTGGGTATATCGAACTGTAAAAGTCTTGCTTAACATTAGTAATTTCGTGAATATTTCTAATTTAGCCACCAATTTTGTAAAAAACCATAANAATTTTTCAGTTTTTTTTTTTAAACCTTCTGGACATTGAAGAACACAAAATCCAATTGTTTCTAGCAGCAACTTTTCGTCGTATGCTGCTGTTAAACTTTTAATTAAATTAAGATTAAAGTTGATGACCCAAACCAGATTTCGACCCCAATTCATACTGTTTTTTGAGACAAATTTCTAATTAATTTTTGTGCAGTTGGAATCACTTAAAAAACAGTTTTTTTCAAACTATCCTTCTTCTCTGAAAAAAATTTGATTTTTTTTCTGAATTTAAACATTTGCAGTAAAAATGTGAAAAAAACTCAAAAAAATTTTTTTTTCATCTCAATCATAATGAAGTGTTTAAGCTCAAAAAACGTGACCCTCTGATTTTTTTCAAAAGTTTGACTGTTTGAAACAAAGAAACGGTTTGCTAGATCGAGATGAAACTTCACAGAGTTCTTCTGGGTATATCGAACTGTAAAAGTCTTGCTTAACATTAGTAATTTCGTGAATATTTCTAATTTAGCCACCAATTTTCTAAAAAAACCATAAATAAGGCACCCCTTTTTTTCCAGTTTTTTAAAATTTGTGTAAAAGATGAAAAAAAAATTCTTTTCGAAAACTTGCGGCAGCATGTTATAGGAAACTTATTTCAGTTTTTGAAACTGCCCTTCAATTCTCTGAATGACCATTTGTTGCCGAGATATCGATGATTGAAGACAAAAGGATCCTTTTTCCATTAAAAGTCCGATATTTCGATGAAAAATGGTCCTGTCGAAATTTAAAAAAAAGCAAATTGAAGCTGAATAAACAAGCTATCTGGTCCATGCAACGGCTTAGCTGAAAATTTTTTTTTACCAAGTCCGTGACTCATAAAAAAAAAGAAAATTTGCAAAATATTTTTGTCGCACTGCTTCTTAGAATTGCACGATAACCAAAAGATCTAAAAACTATAATCTTACAGCTTCAAAATGCTTTTTTTAAATTCCCAATATGACCATTTTTCACCTAAATACAGTCGAAAAATCACGAAAAAATTTCGGAAATTCATTTTACCTTTTAATTAGTTTATAAATATTTTCTATGATCTGTTAGATACCGATAACCCATATTAGATATTATAAAAGTAGACTTAAGAAATTATACGCATACATATCTATCTAAATAATAAAAAATTTAATGAGAGTTCAGTAAGTTTTGTCATCAACACACCAAATATACTTAAATCATATGATTCAACATAGCATATCCAAATTCACTTTATATTTAGTATCACAATTTTTTATAATTCCATTTCTAATACTTACATTGTCAAATATCTTAAAAATATTATATACACGATTAAAAGGTATTTTGTAATTAATTTATTACAAACAATTCTAACAAAAATAATTTTTTGATTTGGCTAAATAAAAAATGGATAGACATTTTTATATTGCCGCAGCAGACAATGATTAAAATATAACTGAAAATCTAGCAGTAAAGTTCAGTGCCCCTACATACATAGAAACGTAGTATAGGTACTGTTATGTTCATTTACATTCATGTGATGCGTTACGCTGTTTTCAACTAACAAATTTGTATTAAAGCTTTTCACTGACATTAGAAATTACTTTCATAAGAAATAGTTTTTTTTAAATTGTATCCTAAATTTTTTTACATACAGGGTGTTAGAAATTAGTAAGTCAATCAGTTAACCACATATTCTTTGGATTAAAATAATGGGACTTATGACACTTTTCATTTCGGAGCCCCATTTTCAAAATACATAGTTAAAAAATGATTTTTATTGATAACTCCGGTGATTGTAGAGATATTTATTTGAAATTTAGCACATATTTTGGTCTTAAGTTGGCACACTTTCTGTGTAATTTTGATTTAAAATATCAAAGAGCGAACGGAGGGGAGGGAGATTGCAATACGTATAGACCCCCTAGTTTTCTTTGAATACGCCTAGACTTTCTGAATATTTTTTTAAGATAAGGCGGCGTTTTATTCTATTTTGTTTTCACTCTTGTCAGATCTTGATTGGGGCTCGGTTTGCGAGATATTGTACCTTTTTGGATACACGACATCAATTTAGTCGACGCCTCCATTCGCACTTTGATATTTTAAACCAAAATTACACAAAATTTAAATCTCAAATAAATATTTCTACAATCACTGGAGATTTCAATAAAAATCATTTTTTAAATTTTGACATTCTGTATTTTGAAAATAGAGCTCCAAATTGAAGTGACATAAGAAAAGTCCCATTATTTTGGTCCAAAGAATATGTGATTAACGGGTTGACTTATTAATTTGTAACACCCTGTATATTACCTTTAATAGAGAAAATGTCAACAAATAATTATAAATATAAATTATCAAAATATGACAGACAAATCCACTAAAACTTTTTTTCTACATAAAAGTGTTTCAATGTGTGACTGTTTCGACAATTGATTTAAAGAATTCAGGATGAGACTAAACTGCTGATGAAAGATTCTGTAATAAACTTGTTTCTGGAAATTGTGTTCAATATTATTGAAAATATATGGTTTATTTCAAAAAATAGTTATGAAAAATCGCATAAATAATTAATTTCATCGATAGATAATGTGATTACTTCAATTATTTTTATTATTTCAAATATAACTTGAGGTGTCAGTAACAGATGGAAACACAGAGATAGAACTAGAGTGTCTAGATATTGATACTGAACGCTACTGTACGCTACTGTAATAGCAAACTCATCCTCCAAATCGTAAATAAATCTAAAAAGATCTGTAGCTTGTGCAGGTATTTGCACAGCTACAATTGCACGCCACATTTAAATAAAAGTATTTTAGTTACATCCTGTATGCATACCTACTGCAACTTTTGTAATTCAAATAGCTTTGTTAAAAAAATTAATATTTTCTCATATTAAACTTTTTATAATTTTGTTAGTTTTTTAGATAATAAATTGCTAAAAGNACTTTACTATATTTATAGTAACTTTTTTTTACTATTTTTTCCTTAAATTTTGTACAAACTTTTCCAAATATCCTGTATATTTTTGTAATGGTTTTGATGTATATTTGGATTATTATTTTGAAATATACCTACTTGTTTAGTATGAAAAGATGAAAAATAGTGAGTGATACTTTTATTTAACATCACATCTTTGAGTTTGATTTGTAAAACATTTTCTATATGAGAAGGTATTGAAATACGAAATAATTTTGTTCCTTTTGGGCGAGAGATGGAATGTATTTGTTGTTCACAAAATATAAAAATTATTAACGTCTTACATTAAACTGCACTAAAAATGTTAATAGTTTTGTAAATAGTAAAAATTTAGTTAATTAGTATGTAATACACACCTATACACCTACTATTTTTACTTATACAATATACAGGGTGTGCCATTTAACATTATCATTGGCACTGTAAAGGATTCAATTTGGCTTAAAATTGTTGTCTTTATCTACACATTAATTTATAGATACTTTTGCTGTGCAGAGATTTTTCAATCTATGAATGAAAAAAATTAATTATGTTTTTTTGCAATTTTGTTTATTGTACTTCTATACTTGTAAAGTACTTCAAATTGTGTACTTTTGGAAAGTGTATACATTGCTTTTAATTAGAAAACTCTACAGTTTATGACCACACTACAGTACAAATTGTCAAAAACATTTATAGTAAGAATGTAGTCGCAACATGGCAAATTCTTTAGGGCTATAAATAATAAAAAGATATGTAAAACATAATATTATTATTTAAAACATTTTCCAATATTTAAGAACAAAGTCATATTAAAATTATTAAATTGTTCAAGCCTACAAAATAAAAAAAACATATCAAAAATGTATTTAAAAATGTACAAAAATAGCAGCCTTACTTAGTGAGATAAAATCATTGCAAATAATTAAAATAGTTCATAATGTAATGAACTTGTCTTAAAAAACATTATATCAATTGATTACACAATAAATTATTTTTATCTCACTCGGTAAGATTGCTATTTTTTCCTTTTTAAATATATTTTCGATACTTGTTTTTTATTGTATAAGTTTGCTCAACAATTCACTTATATGTCTTAAATATTGTTTTAGTTTTTTAAATGATGTTCAATAATGTTTTACACATATATATTTTAATTTTTTTTAAAGTTGGCTTAGAAAATCGAGATCCTTATTTCCTTGCCCTGTTCTAACTATATGTTCTTATTAAACTATTTGAAGGCTCAAAAATTATCTGAAAAACATTTATTTCATGCAAATGTCATTAGTTTAAATCAACTAGTATTATTTTTTGAGTTCGCGTTTGTTTTGTGCATGGGGTTGTTTATTTATTTATTTTTAATTTTGTCATAAAATTAAAAACAATCTGAAGTAAATTAATTCATAGAGATACACAATAAAATTGTAGTTGTGAATATGTGAAATTTTAAATGACTGCATAATTTCAAAAATATGTGAAAAGTCACCTAGAATTTTTATAAATTGAGGTCATTAGAATTACTGATATTATACGATATTTATATAAATATCAAATATCGGATATATATCTTGATATATATCCGATATATATCAAGTCTTGATATTTATTTTTTTTTTAATTAATTAGTTTATGTATAATATTACAGTAGCGAAATAAAATTAAGAAACTATTTAGGTAAATATTTTGATTCCAAATATCAAAAACAAGAACGAAAAAATAAATATAAATTCTGAAACTAATAAAAAATATTTGCGTGAATATTAAGTACTACAAAAACTAACCAATTTACACCAAGTCAACATAAACTTCACAAATATTAAAACAAATAATACAAACACACAGCACCCTCGAATTGACTAACACGTGGAGAAATAATGAAATAAAAATATTCATTCAATTTTACTTTGTTGAAAAATTCGGGGAATCACATAAATAAGCACGTTCATCAACGATTAGCATACGGTTTTGCTGCCATCTGTTAACAGTTTTAGAAACTTTAAACCAGTAGGAATCATTATTTAAATTTTTATAAATATCATGATATATATCAAGGAATATCATGATAGATATCAATGATATATCGGATATATATCATGCCAACCTTGATTACTGAATTGCAGAATTTAATGCACTCTCTATTAAACGAGGTGACACTGGCTAATGCTGTTACTATCTAACTGTGGAAATTGTTTGAGATAGAAGTCTAGAGCAGAACTTATATTAAAAAAGTTATCGAGCGTTATTTTTGTCAGGAAACAATGGAAATGTTTGTTTTTAAATAGAAAAGTTGACCAAAATTCTTTATTTAAAAAAAATTGAAAATTTCTTTGCACAGCAATGCTAACTAGCTATGAAGGTAAAGAAAATATTTTTATGTCAAATTGAATTCTGCAACTGTTGCAACTGTCCTCCAACTACGATCAATATAATGATTTAAAATAGAGCTTATAGTTTCTAAAGAAACGGCACTGGAAATGTTAAGTGGCACATCCTGTAGATATAAACTACAAAATATAGATCAGTAGTAAAATATAACTTTGGTGATTAGATTATTTATTTATTTAGGCGAATACCTAATTCTTATAAAAACCAATCTACCACACCTGCCATATTACTTATAAAGATATTGTTCCATTAAAAAATCAATAAATAAAATTGCAAGTACACGAAGTAACCCCAAATAGATATTTATAAAAACTGTCCATTGTCGTTGGACAAAGACGATTGCACATGTACAAAATGAGACGGTAAAGTATGATTAGATAATGGAATCACTTGAGAAGTATCAAACATTAAAGGCTGACAGAGTAAGAAATGATCGGACATATCAAACTGTGGCGTACTGACTACAAACTGAGTACAGCTAGGCTGTAGAGATGACCCTTCAGATTGGTGACCCTCTAATTTAACACCTTCCAAAGACTGCAACGGCAGACTTTGGACTAATTCGACGGTTTGAGATTCTACTCCTAGAGTATCTTGTAGTAATTGCTGTGAATTATCTCCGTAACTTACAATGAGTTGAGGCTGAGATTGCGGGAGAGACTGAAGTAGCGGTTGAGATTGCGACAAGGGTTCTACCTGATGTGTTGGTTGTGATTGTAGTTGTAGCGGTAGTGATTGTGGCTGAGTCTTCACTTTTTGTTCTTGATTTAATCTTGCAATACATTTCTCTGCCTTTTCTGCTGCCTTTTGTGATATAGTTGGACCATTTTGAACCATCGCTGCTACTAACTGAGCAAGTCTCTCGTTAGACTGAATTATAGGCTTTGGAAGTTCTGCTTGCGGTTCACAATTATGGACAAAAAATGCAAAAGGCTGTGTTGTATCAACTGGATGTAAATGGTAAAAGTTCATCTGAAAGAGATTTAAATATACAAGTCTGTATATATCAAATTAAATATGCACTTACTTTTACTACAACATTCAAACCTAGTCTGATATGTTTATTTTTCCTTCTAGACAGAGGATTATCTGTTAAAACTTTCATATCTAATGTAGCTTTGCATCTTCTCGCGTCGAATAATAACTCTTTTTGAATTGTTTTCCCGCCTTGAGTCCAACACTGATACTGCTTTCTAAATCTTATTTTAGGACCGGTGTTTGATATCTTTTTAGCCCAAACGGTATCTGTAACATCTGAAAATAATTCCACCCATTCGTCGCACAGGCTATTAAAATCCTCATTATCTCGCGGAATTTGCGTTCTTAATTTTATCTCAAATTGTTTACAGTCAGTATCCCATTTCGTGTGAATGATTTCAAATTTTCTATTTATGTTGCTCAAAATGTCACTAAAATCTTTTTTCCCTTTGTCGTCATCAGCCATTTTATCAACTAAAGGGAGTAAAATATCGACCAAGGATTCTTACTCACTGCTAAACAATTTTAGACCTTAACGCCTTTTAAATAAAAGCTTTGCTAATATGAGAAATATTTTGGTCGTATGTCGGAACTAACCTGAGGCGCAGAATTCCCTAGAGTTCGTTCTTTTGGTTAGAACCATACTTTCAAATTTGTATACTTATTTTCTCTCAATTAATTTTAAAAAATTCGTTTTTATTCGAGTATTCAATTGGCTTATTTTAATATATACAGTTGGTCCTATAGAATCTTTAATAATACAGTCAATTTAATATATATTTAATATCCTCCAACAAACTGTCTGTCTCTCTCGCATACTCGGCCACACTTTTCGCAATGACACTACCTCCAGTAGTATATACTTGAAGAATTTCATTGGCTCTAAGCTGTAAATCGTAAGGTTCCCGTATGTAAATTATTTAAAAGAATGGAATATCGAGTTTCAATATTTGCTATTTTGTTATCTGCAAATAACTTTGACATAGTCGATTTAAATGAAATTTGACATCATAGCCAAAACAGTTACAGTTATTGCACACATTATACCTTTGTTATAAATAAATAAGAGTTCTAATGTTCTTAACATTCATATTATAGTAATTTAAATGTACTCATTTTTATGTCATATAAGTAGAATGGTTCCAGGTATAGAACTGATCTGACTGTTTTTAGTTAATGGAATGGACTTATTGAGTTCAATTGGGTACAATGACACTACATGAAGTAAGCTAGGACATACTTTAATGACATTACATTACATCTTACATCACATATCCATGTTTGAGGTTAGGTTTAGTAGTTTTTGTAAACATCAATGAAAATTCCAAATTTTTTAAAAAATGTATTTTTTGGAATACCCATAGGTATAACCGTTATAGATTGTTTTGGTTATATTGCAAGAGTTGATGGTATATCTATGCAACCTGCATTAAATCCAGATAAGAATCAAACGGATTATGTGTTTTTAAATAAATGGGCAGTAAAATCCTTTGATATTAATAGAGGAGATATAATTTCTCTAATTTCTCCTAAAGATCCTGGACAGAAAATTATTAAAAGAGTTGTAGGTGTCGAAGGTAAGTTTTTTAATTTTAATACGGGTAGAGAATAAGAGAACTATAGTTATTTAACTTTTAGGTGATATTATAGCTACACTAGGTTACAAGAAAGAAATTGTGAAGGTGCCGGAAGGCCACTGTTGGATAGAGGGTGACCACACCGGTCATTCTATGGATTCAAATAATTTCGGTCCTGTATCAGTTGGTCTTATTACTGCAAAAGCCTCTTGTATAGTTTGGCCACCTTCTCGTTGGCAACTTATACAATCTTTCTTACCAGATTCACGTGTACCTTTAAACTTGTTATCTAAATCTTTTATTGGTATAGTTCAGTTTTAATATATCCTTAGTGCTAGTAGAAGAAACGAAATGCGTGCGATATCTCTAGTTAAACGAATAGAGTTTGAATTTTCTGGTAATGTAGTGCGTAATGCTTTAACACTTGGTGATGTTGATAATGATGGTTGCAATGAATTAATCGTTGGAAATCAAAATGGTGATGTTGCTATTTTTAAGGTAAATGCATACTTATTTATATATTGAAATATTGATATTTAAGTAACTGAAATCCTTAGATTTTTCTTTGGAAGGCATATGGAACCTCTTTTACTTTTAAAATTAATTCGGTTTTCAGTTTTGGTTGCTTGTGTATAAATAAATATGTCACAAATTGGAAGTTCTGTATTTATTGTTTTTATCACATCACAGTTTATTATTTAAATAAATATATAACTGAGCGTTTTTTAACTTCAACTAAATCTTTTAAATATTTTTACCATTGAAAAAAGGAATGTAAGCAAATAAGAGTTTTGCCTAAATTATTACTAATACCAAACATCTAGAAAATAATAAATTTGATATAGTTTATTATTTTCTATATTACCTACATTATTTTAAATAAAATTCCATGCAATTTTGTTTATCAATAATGTCTTCTAAGGGTCAAGAAAAAATGCAGACGATTTCAAAATTAAGTTTCATCAGCTGTGTAGCTGTTGGGGATGTTTTGAATGAAAACAGGAATGTGCTTGTCGTAATCACTGCCGATGGATGGTGCTATGTATACGGTGCTCCGGAAAAATCTATTGATATATCAGAAGTTATTGACATCGATGAAGGAGTTGAACAGGTAAAAAATGAATTTTAGTATACCTCTATTTTCCAAGAGATATAAAAAGTATACTTTATTTTGTTACTGATTGTGCCAAGGGGCATAAATGCTGTAAGCTCCATTTTTCGGGAAAGCGATTTATAAAAAATAGCTCAAATAAGCATCATCCCCGTGCTACTATTAATAAGCTTAAAGTGAATACTAATATAACTCAGAAATATGAGATATTATAAGTATTATTTTTCTATTAAATCGACAGTTAATGTGTAGTTAGTCGCAGTATTCTCATTTCCGTTTACTTTGTCTTGTTTCATTAACATCTGTGTTAAGTCAGCACCAGACACATTGTGAGTATTTGCAAATAGAGGCACTTGCGATGTGGGCAGGGATATTTGTACTCACTGGTCATTTCTGCAGAGCCTTCATAATTTTATTTCTTTCATGTTGGCTATTAAATTTCAGTAAAATAAAAAATTATTAAAACAATAAGGCTAAGATTACATTAAGACACAACATTCTGTTTCATGAGATTTTATTCAATGAATCAGCGATCGCATTATCTAGAGTAGGGGTGCTTAGATTTGTACTATCGACGATCTACCGCAAAAAAATGAGCGGCAACCGATCGACACCAAAAAGTAAGGGGTGGAAAATAGAACTGAGCTGTAACATAACAGGTGATATGGGCATATGTCGCTGTCATTATTTGGTTATTGGCCAATTGAAAATCTGAATTCTACCTACTACGTAGAAAAAACTACAATGTAACTAAAATTTTTTATTGCACATACCAATTATAGGTATCTCAATAGGATATATAATAGTAATGATAATTATATGTCGCTAAGAAGTATCGACATCTCTGGATGTCGATGCATGGCATTGCATGTCGTCAGCGTACATTTCATAAGATGGCAGGTAATTGCTGATTGTCAATTGCATATACAATGACAAATGTTCGTCAAAGCCGACTGCGATGTTTGGATTTAATAATTTTTATTTCAGAAAATGCAGGTTCGCTTAGATAAGTTGATCCAAACAATCTGGTTAATTGAAGCTCAGTTTGTACGGATTTATACAATTGACCGGGTTGACTCTAATTCAATTAATATAAGAGACAATATTCAATGCACACGATTTCGATGTATTCAAGGAATAGAAAGAAGCGTAACGCATCATTCTTTATTATTATTCCGCCGCCGTACGAGTGGCTGACGAAAGGTGGTTGCTTTATAATTCAATTTGAAGGTAATTTATTTAGGGATATGTCTCAGCGATCGACTTTTGATGCTATCGCGATCGACCGTTTGAGCACCCCTGATCTAGAGCATAGACGTGATGAAAACACAACTAGGTGAATAAACGTGTCAGTCTAGTTTTGTTTCCTTATATTATCATTTATTATTGTTCATTTATTTGTACATTGGTGTACAAGCAATGAAGTGACTTATTAGGATTGTCACAGACTTGGGCCACCTGCGAATGCTAACGTTTTAAAAGAATCGCCAATTGTCTGACAGAAGGCAGTTGTACTCTTGGTCATTTGCAAATATTCGTACTCGTCTATAATCGCCTTATGTTTAATGGCAACTTTATATATTCACGTTTTGAGACAGTTCCAGCTATTGTAATAAAATTTTTCCATTCATCACATTGTTAACAATATTTTGTGGTTTTTGGCATTTCACCTTTCTCTCTGCCGTTCTAATGTAAAACCGTATAATTGCAAAATAAATATTGTAAATTCAATCAACGGCATCAAACTGCATAATCTGGTTAAAAACAGCCATATTATTTTCTACAGAATTGTTGCGACTGTCTACGGTTTTTAACTGAACAATTTGATAAAATACACCTTACATTTTGAAGGGGCAACGACGATATGAAGACTTACATGCTGAGAAGCTACCTACGTGAACCTGACACCCGACTTTTCAAAATTCAAAATTCCTTGCTACTACAAACGAAAATTCGTTCACTACAATTAACTACAAACGATTTTCTATAGGAATCAACAATTTTATAGGCCATATAACTTTTTTCTTGAGCTACTACAAACGAAAATATTGTTACTACAAACAACTACAAACGAAAATCTATAAGAATTTTTAAAAAATTTTGAATTTTGAAAAGTCAGGTGCCAGGTTCACATAGGTAATAAGCTCCTAATAAAGTTTAGCTCTTGAATGGCTACATACCTCAACTAGCATTGTAAGTTGTTTCTGGAATATCATCGGTTAAAATCTTGTCAATGAAGTTAGATATCTTTTGATATTTATGGTATCGTTGAACATTATTTGACTTAATTTGAAACTTTTGTTTAGAATATACGGGGTGATTCATTAACAATGGGAAAACTGAAAGCTGACGTAAAATGGTGACCATTGGCGCAAACATGCCTTATCCGAAAGTTGATAGTTTCGGAAATACAGAGTGTTAAAAATTAAAATTTTAAATAGTGTTTTTGCGATTATTGTGAAAATATGTAGGTTAGGAGCTTGAAAATTTGTGAAACTATATTTTTTTAAGTGACGAATAAGATGTGTATTGCAATTTCAGCATTGCTCATAGAGGGCGCCACTTACGACAAATTTTACCGAAAATTTAGTTAGTAACTTTTTACCCTGTATGTCTAACATGAAACTTGATTCAAATCCTGAAAGAGCTATCATTTTTCCATTAATTATGTACTTTTGTTTCATTTCGGTATCTCGATCCGTTTTCGAGAAAAATCGGTTTAACGAACACTATGTTTTGATAATACAAGAATTTAAAAGTGAAACAAACTGTTTCTTCATGCTATTACTACAATTAACAATAAAACAATTGAAATACCTACGTAATAATGATTTAAAGTAATTGTTCAAAGAATCCACCGCTGACCCTGATACACTTTATACAACGTTTTCTGAGAGATCTTCGACTTTGAAGCAACATATTGGGATTGCGTCTGACTTTGTTGGCAGCGAATTGTATTATTTGCCACAATTCTTCACACTAACCAATGGATTCTTTGTTAACTATATCTTTCATTCGAGACCGAAAAGTAAAATCAAGAGGATTGAAGTCCGGACTTTTGGGTGGCCAAACAAAAATACTTACATGGCCAATCCAGCGATTTGGAAAAACTGCATCTAAATATGCACACACTGGCCAAGAAAAATACGGTGTAGCTCCGTCGTGCATGAACCACATGTCTCTTCTTGAATAAAGTAAAACTTCTTCAAGCCCTCTATGAGCAACGTTGAAATTGCAACACACATTTTATTCGTCGCCTAAAAAATATAGTTTCACAAATTTTCAAGTTCCTAACCTACATATTTTCAGAATAATTGCAAAAAAACGATTTCAAATTTTAACTTTCAACGCCCCCTGTATTTCCGAAACTATCAACTTTCAAATAAGGCATGTTGGCAATGGTCATCATTTCACATGTAGTATTTTTAGCTTTCGATTTTCCCATTCTTAATGAATCACCCTGAATATATTTTTAAAATTATTTTAGTTGGCTTAATATTTTTAAAATAAAGTCAAAACTTCAGATTAATTTTCAAACAAAAGTATGAAGTAATAAAACTTATTCAGTGAACTTTAGAACAAGACGCTTTGAATGGCAATTAACTCAAAAAAAAACAAAAGAAAACTATAAACAATTTTTTGTTTTTAATGTTCTTAGGAATCAACTTGTTTCACTTTTTGAAGTTACATAATATGTTATACATAATTTGTCTGTTTTTTTTAAATAATTTTTCTAAAAATTTATTTTACTATTTATTTTGTTGGGTTCCAATTAATTTTTTTTTTTAATAATTGTTTTACATATTCAAGCATTGATATTTGCACTGATCTGGACAGACCCGTTATATTTAACTATATTTTACAAGAATAAATGTAAGGTATAACGTTTTCATTAAACCTTCAACATTCTGTATCTCAAAAACCATTGGTTTTATGGACTCGATTCATAAAATTTTTTGTCTAAAATTATGAAATGATCAGTCCCCTTATGTTATAGACTTAGAAAACATCCTGTATATGATGTTATTCACAAAATTTTTATGTATATATAAAAATTTTTCTATGCTTTAAATATTGCTGTATTCCAGATCGATGGTCAGATACAGTCAACCTCTGGCTCAGGAAGTATTGAAACTTTAGTGGGTGAACCTCCTGCAAATTCAAAACAGAGTAAAAAAGATGACAAAGTGTTACTATTGTGCATACACAAACAAAGAATTCCTGCCAATGCCAAGGTAAAATATACCGACATATTTTTATAACGGCTACAAAGTATTAGCTACACTCGTTTGTAGAATATTTTACTTGGCGACGTTGATGGAGACGGCATGGTTGAAATGGTGCTTGGACTTACCGATCGAGTTGTCAGATCATATAGATGGATAAGTACTTCTAACAAATCCACTATAGATATAACTATAGACGCTAATCTGTCATTTGAACATTCTGACAAATTATTAGGTAACTCTTTAAATGGTTAATGGGAGTTAGTTTAAACTGAAATTTTTAGGTAAATTCGCAGCTTTAAATAAATGGGAATGTGCCAACCAAATAGGTTCAATTACGCTACATCATTCGCTAGACGGTAAAACTTCTCTTTTAATTGCTCAACCTGGAGGAACCTTCATGAGAATAAAGTGCTCTTCTGAAGAATCCATTAATTTCGCCGATTTGGAAGCTTCAGAGCACAGTAATTCTAGTGGGTAAATGTGATATTTGCTTAGTGTACGTCGTAATTGTTTCACTGTTCTTTAATGTTTTTTTTTTTTTTTTTT